GTAGTTTTGATTATTGCCATATATTGGAAGTATGTACATAGAACATTGGGAATGAGGAGAAAATAGTCTTTAGCTTTTCCTGGTGAGTTTGGAAAGGCAATTCAGGGGCAATGTGGTGAGAGGCACCTAAACAGTGTGGAGAAGCTGGCTGCAGGAGTATAAGAGGCTGGGCAGCACCTCAGCGAGAGGCACAAGAGTGTGGTGAATTCGGGGTGAGTGTGAGCAGCTTAATTAGGCTGGACCCTAGAAGAAGGGGAAGGTGTAAGAGGCAGACAGAAGACAGAAGATTATAATGAGACTCTAGGCTGTAAAGTTAAGATGTAGCATGCACCACTAAAGAATTTTGAAGAGGGTACATCACAATCACATTTACAGGGGGTTGATAATGTGGTGTAGATGATTAGAGAGATATTCAGGAGGTAGACTTGGTGGTGCCTATGTTGAATAAGGGTGAATATGGCTTAGGGATGAATATGTAATGAGCAAAGAGGAGATTATGAGTTCCAGTTTCCTTCATCATGCAAAGACCCGCCCCCACCCTGCTGAAATTGTTGCACAGCTCATCGTGCACCAAGCTGCGTGCCAGTTATATCCGACAACCTGTAAACTGAACTCAGCCTTGATTCCTGGTAAAACTCGCTGGCAAGTGCCTCTCCTCATGCACTCTTGAGGAACTGAGTACTGTGGCTCATAAAAGCATAGCATTGACCACATGTGAATATTGCACTTTCCTCTCGAGTACGATCTCTATTTTTATTGAACAACTGTCAGTAGGCCATGTAGCATTGCCAACAACACACTGAAAATAGAAGGACGACAATTACCTCAGCAGAGATTAACACAGAAAGTAAAATTGCACTTATGTAACACTCATCTCCCAGGCATGAAGACCAGCCTTCCGTTGGTTTCTGTGTATCAGTTTCAGGGTCATGGCAAAGCAACACCATTCCTGTCCACGTTGGAGGGGCCCGCCCTCTCCTGAGTTCCCTCTTCCTGTGTTCTCTCACCCTTTGCTCAGAGCAGACACCAGCACACAGAGTTGTTCCCCGAGAGGATTTCCCTTCAAGATGCTGCAAACAGATGAGAGATAATATTAGCTAACAACATATCCACACTCTTCTGGTGTTTGGCAACTACTTGTCAGTAAACTTCAGCAAAAAAAAAAAAAAAGGCTTGCATTTGGGAGAAAGTCGGGACTGAGCAGAACTTTAGAGATGATCGAGGAAGGTCCTTTCAGTTTACAGAGGAGAACACTGAAGCCTGAGCATTAAATGGTTTGTCCATAGCTTCCTTGTCCCTCAAATTTGGAGAGAGAACTGAAAACCCCGCCTCCACTCCAACAAGGGCACTTCCTCCAGGCCGTGGCTTCTACCGTGAAACCGAGACAGGGAAAGCTTCTTTGTCACATGCCAAACAACCCCGGTAGGCGGAGAAAACTTCAATACAAAAGAAGAAAATCAACCCTATAATTACATACAGAACTGACTCCAGACCAACCGGCAGAAATACTGCGCTCCTTCCATAAGGGCCACTGAAGAAGGAAAGGGAAGCCTGCCTCAGCAACTAGACACGTAGTAGGTAGTAGGTAGATGTGGTGGGTCCGATGGAATGATACCATTTTCCTAAAACACACAAAAATAGAGAAAATGGCTAGGATGGGATGTAAAAAAAGTAATAGCAACTAATTGCTAAGGAGGACCACTGTGGCATCAATTGTTAATATCACTTTACCCTCCCCACCTCAAAAAAAATTATCTCTGGCATTGAAACTGAGCTGACTCATTGTATCTGTTAAATTGTAGTGATAAGAATATTAACTTTATTGCTTGACCTCTGACCATACCTTGTCAGGACAAATCTGACATCTGGAATTAACAGGGAAACATGGATGATAGTGGAGATCTCAGAAGGAAAGGAAATACCTGAGACACAGTGGTGATTCTGACTTATGAACCTACGTTCCTATTTTAGTAGAGAGAGAGAGACAGGGAGACAGAGAGAGACAGAGAGAGACAGAGAGAGAGAGAGAGAGACTATTCACCAGATACATTAGTGTCACATACATTATCTCAAAATATTCTGATAAACACCTTATGAGATGAGTATTTATTCCATGAGAGAGGTTCTGAACCTTCCCAAGTTTGGGCTTTCCCAAGTTTTGACCAAATTATAAAAACTGTTATCTCAAAATTGTTTTACATTTACAGAAGAATTACAAAGATGTTGCATAGCATTTTCATATACCTTTCACTCAACTTCCTCTGTTTTTAACATTTTGCATCACCATGTGGACCTAACTTTAAGAGTTTTTTTTGAGACAGAATTCACCTATTTTAAAGTGTACCTTTCAGTGGCTTTTAGTATATTCATAGATGTGAGCAACTATCACTTCAGTTAATTTTAGAACATTTTTATGACCTCAAAAAGAAACCCCATGCCATTTAGCTATCCCTTCCCTCTCCCCTCCCCCCACATCCCATCCCCATACAACCCCTCACTAATCTGCTTTATGTTTCTGTAAATCTCCTGGACATTGCATATGAACAGAATCTTATAATATGTGGGTTTTTGTAACTGAATTTTTTCACTTACCATAGTGTTTTCAAGGCCAATCCGTGCTTCAGCATGTATCAATACTTCACTTTTTCAATGGCCAAATAATATTCCACTTTATGGATATAACATATTTCATCTAACCATTTGTTAGTTGATGTAGAGTTGCATTGTATCCATCTGTTGGCTTTTAGGAATCACGTTGACCTAATCTTGGTGGAATCAAAATGTCCACTATGTTGCTGAAAACGCTGATTGAACAACATGATTTTAGAACAATAAGGACCTGAAGGGTGTCTTAATGTAGCACTTCTAAATTAAACTGACTTATTCATCCAATTGCTGACTAATGCCCTTCCCATGAGGGCAAGTCCTTAAGCACATGTCACAGGACAGTCCAAACATGCATGTCCTGTGGGCTTACCATTTCCCAGAGAGGAATGTAATAAATAATGCTCAGTTTCTTCTTTCGAACACATTGGTCTTCTCCCTCCGGAATCACAGTGAAGGGACCAGAAAGGTGATTGAGCTTGGGTTACCCTAGAAGCCAATCCTTGAGCTAAAGGTGAGAGTTTGAGTTGTTTATTTGGAAAGTTCTGGAAGAGGTCTAGAGAAGAGAGGCATGAAGGGGAAGGAAGGAAGCCAGTATAAAGCAAGTTAGTGTTGTGGGGACTTGGGGACCCCACAGAAACACCGAGGGCCTCTGGGAGACAGTGCAGAACATTCCTTGCAATCACACCAACAGAGAAGTAGTGTGTAGGGTATCTACCCATCAATCCTTATCTGTCATTGAGGGTAAGTCCCCTGGGTAGCCCTTCCAGGCTACCCCTCAAGCAACCAGGCATAGAGTAGCAGGCCCTTGCTGTGGAAGCTGTGGGACTGGGAATGGCGATGCCAAGGAGGTGTGGTGGCACCAACAGATACATGCACCAGGCAGTGTTACAATATCTCCCTATGAACAAGGCAGGAAGAAGAGGAGAAGGACTTCTATCCTGACAATGAGACTTTCCAAGGAAACATTGACTGGCAGCGGCTGGTGGTGGCACCATAGCCCTGAACTTACTCGTCTATCAAAATGAAAAGTCTGTGATCACTAAACCCTTGATAATTAGAACTGGAATCATATATGAAGCAATATTCCAGTCCAGCCCTACCCCTTTGCAGCTTAAAGAGATTTCTGTCCTTTAGAGAGAGACGGTAATATGTGATTGCAGTGTGGTAGAGAGCACACAGTGTGGAGACTGATGCCTCTGAGCTCAAATCCTGACCCCGATGTGTAGACTCTGTGTGCAAACTCTTGGAGCAAACTGTTTAATCTCTGAGAACAAGTTCTCTCAATCCACAGTTGCCTTCACTTCCACTCCACAGTCTGGTGACATAAAATGAGATGTCTGATGACCCTTATCACAGTGGCTGGCTTATGGTGTAAATTCAGTAAGTAGGAGGGGGGGTGTGTGTGTGTGTGTGTGTGTGTGTGTGTATTTCTTACTCAGAGTAAGAAAGAGATGCAACAAAAAATACATTAACTCATTCAACAAATATTTATTAAATTCCTACTATGTGCAGAATTCTCTTACAGTCATTGGCATAGAGGGGCAAAGAATTGAAATCTCTGTTCTCATGAATCCACCATTCTAGTTAATCACAATACTGGAATTCTGTTTGTACATGTCAGATCCTGTTTTCATTGTCTAGAAACACAAGGTTTAATTCGTGTCATTCGTTGGACTTTTAACTTCTCAAAATATAAGCTTCATCTCAAAATGTCCCTGAGTGCTCACTCGCCAACCTTTAATCAAACATATTCTGAGAAGCATTTCTCAAATCTTTCTTTGACATTGCATTAGTTGGAATTTGTTTGGTCCCCAGTGACAGAAGCCAAATCTGAACTATTTCAAAGAAAAAGATGAATTTATTGAAAGCAGAGGATGAATAAAAAGCTGGGGGGAAAGCAGACACAGGGCTGGCCCTCCAAACAGCTGGAACCAGGGCCTGAGACCCTTCGGAGAATCACCGTGCCTCTCGCATCTGTCCCTGCGTGGCAGCTCTATCACTCACACTGCGGTGTGGCTTCTGCCGCATGGAAGACAGCGTGCCTGCTCATGGCTCCGGCGATTTACATCTTGCAACTTCCGCCATGAAAGAGACTAACCCACCTCTCCCAGTCTTCTCATCTGCAATTCCCAGGGAACAGATTCTGATAGTCACAGCCTGAGACGGGGATTCTCTATTGGATCGTTCAGCTTTGTTATTTACACAGCGTTTCCCACACTAATTATAAGGCTGGGGGACTAGGGGTGCACTGCTAGAATCCCATAGCTACCCACACAACCTGTCAAGACAGGGAACCTCCAAAAGGCTAATTCTCCCATCATGGACACCTTTCTGGCAGGAAGCATGTATAACAGCAGCTCTGGAAGCTGAAGAAATGAACAAAACAATAGAGCTAGAAGAGGCCACATTTTATTCAGCCCACAGAGGTATCCATGAGTAGATTACTTCCTGCAAATTGGTCAAGTATATTCAAAGCAAACACATTAAAATGGATTATTCACCGTTTATGCATCAGAGAAGTAACAGTAATATTTTTATGGCACATATTAATGTTCTTGAGTGCTTCCAAAGTACTGCAGAACTTCAGAACATTTTCCAGTTTCATAGAATTAATTAGCTCCCCTGTGGAGCAGCTGAGGAGCAATATCGCTGTTTTGGAGATGAGATGGTTGAGATGGAAAGGCAAGAGATGTTGAGTTGTTCCTCTTTTTGATAGGCATTTATCAAGCACCTGCTCCATGCATGGCTCTGGGCAGATGGCTTTGGGGTTATAAATTGGTTGAAATAAAATCTCTTCTCTCATGGAACTTATAGTCTAGCAGGAAAGGAGAACTTGTCAATAGCCAGCTCTAATGCAAGTCAATATAAGACCCAGATAAGACAGATAAACATGACAAGCTAGAGGAAGCTATGGGATAGAGCTGGGAACAAAGTTAAATTGCCCAGGCCCATGAAAACCATAGGAATTTGGTCTTTAATATGTAAAGTCATCATTAAAATGTATATATATAAATTTGTTATAAATTCATTTAAATGGGTAGTTCTGTAATTATTTTTTAAATCAGTAATAAACCCACACCTCCTTCCCTCAACCCCTGCCTCTGGCAATCATCAGTCTGTACTCTGTATCTAAGAGTTTGTTGGTTTGGTTTTTAGATTCTACAAACGAGTGAGATCATATAATATTTATCTTTGTCTGACTTACTTCACTTAGCATAATGCTCTTGAAGTCCATTTATGTTGTCAAATGGTGGGATTCCTTTTTTTATGGCTGAATAACATTTCTCTGTGTGTGTATATGCCCCACATTTTCTTTATCCGTTCATCCATCCAGGGACAGTTAGGTTATTTCCATGTCTTGGCTAATGTAAATAATGCTGCAATGAACAGAGGGGTACAGACACATCATTATACATAATGACTTCATTTCCTTTGGATAAATACCCAGAAGTGGAATTGCTGGATTATATGGCAGGCCTATGTTTAATTTTTTGAAAAACCTCTATATTGGTTTCCATAGTGGCTGTACCTATTTACATTCCCAGCTACTCCTTCTATTCTTAATTAAATGATCTCAATAAGTGAAAGAAAAAATGATCTATTTGCCTAAATCACTCAAATGACTGGCTAGTTCCCTGGTTTACTTTGCCCTGTGAATTCTGGAGTAAAATGCGTAATTGTGAGTGAAGACTGGAGTGTTTATAAAATGGGCGACCATTAACTATGCAGGTTTTCATTACCCAGGGAGGGTCTGATTTCTGCTAGGGCTCTCTTTGTGAACCCCAACTTCCCTGAAGTGAGGAAATATATGAGAAGCTGTGGAGAGATGCACATGGAGAAGCCCACGTAGAGAGAAAGCGAGGTCCCTGGCCCTCAGCTCCTGTCGACTGCCGACAGTAGGCTCAGACTGCAAGGCATGCGAGCGAGCCATTTGGGAAGCAAATCCTCCAGATCTGAATTGAGTGCCCCAAGCTGACGCTGAGTGGGCCAGAAGTGAGCTCCCCTCTCTGAGCCTTGTCCAAATTCCAACCAGATTCAGGCTAATAAAAAATTGTTATAATTTGTAAGCCAAGAAGTTCTTGGGTGGTTTGGTCTTTAAAATAGTTAACTGGAACATCTTCCGTGAAGAATTCATGACAGTAGCATCTTTGTGCCTTGCTTCCATTCTTCATTAGACGGTGAGGTTTTAGAAACCCCAGCTATTCTGATTTTGGAAACAACTCGGGAGTTCAGAGGGATGCCTTTCCATTTTTCTATAGAGTTTCACAGGGAGAACGCAATTCAACACTTAAGTAATTTCCTTTACATGTGAAATTTCTAAAATATTAATTTTAAAATGATGCCCTCCTATTTCTAAAACAGGTTAAGCTAAAAACACCAATACATGGTATTTCCCTCCATGACATTTGCATCTGTAACATTTGTAATATTCATAGACAAGTGTTCACAAAATTTCCACCCCGGACCCAAAAGGGCCCCTACTGTATTTATGAAGGTCACTGAAGCTCACGCACCTTCAGGGCTGGGCTCTCTTCTCTAGTTCACTAATCAAAAGTTACAAATATAGCTTCTGATACCTCCTCTCTCCTCTTCTTTGTTATTGGCTGTCAAGACAAAGCAGGGCAGCAACCAATCAGCTCTTTATATTAAACAGTGTATTTTGCTGAGCTGGACTTGATTCCTGGTTGCTACAAAACAAATCTAAGTTTATATCAGAGGTGACAAACTCCATACCCTGTCATTTATCCTTTTTATAGCATGGGTGACACCAACAGTCAGCAAGTCTTCTAGATGACCATGTGCATCAACTAAAGCAGAAAACATCTAAGTCAACAGATTTCCTGTGTCGATTGTCAGAAATTGTACTCTTAAATAAAAAGTAAACTAAATTAAAAACAAATTCCACTGCTATTGATTACTGCACATATTTTTAAAAAGAAAGTCATAATCCCAGTACTAACAGCCATAAACACTATTAATACTAGAGTATATATTTTTCTATACGTGAGTCTAAATACACACATATGTAACCAAAAATGTGCTATATTATGAACTTACCCTTATACACTTTAATGATTGCCAAAACCCCAAAACATGTTGATATTTTATTATATAGAAAGGTACTGTACTAAGTGCTTCATAAATACTATTTCATTCAAAGCACAGCAACACTATGAGATAAAAAAAACATTAACACAATTATGCTCTGAGGTCCTGGAGGTTAAGATCACAGCTAGCAAGTAGAAATGTCTGACTCCAAACCTAGACCTGTCAACAGATTCTTACTGCTCTATTTCTCATCTTGTGCACTTGAATTTTTAAACTAAAATTATATTATAACCACCATTCATGATAATATTCTCCTGTTCGTTTACAACAATAGTCTAATGTCTGACTAGTATTTACAGGGTTTTGAAATAGTTCACCATTCTTCTCTTGTTAGTCATTTGAGTTTGGTTTTATTTGTTTTCAATTGTCTACCAGTCTAAACAACACTGCGATAAATATCCCTGCAGATCAATCTTGTTTGTACATCCTTATTATTTCCTGAGGATGAATTTCTAGAAGTTGAGTTGTTGGGACAATGGCATGCAAAAATTTTATGTTTTCAATAGTTATGCCAAATTCACCTTCAGAGAAATTATACCAAATTACCTAACTGCCATCCACATGTACCTGTGTTTGGATACTAAATCCTCATTTAAAAAAACAAATCAAAACAAAATAAAACTTTAAACCACGATCTTCCTAATCATGGAAATAGATGATATCTTAAGAGTTATTTTTTTCCAATCTCCTCCACATTATAGACCTTTTCATAGTACATCTCTGATCTAGATTATCCATCCTATATAATTAATAGGAAGTTCTGGGAACAGGGAAATTTTAAAAATTCATACTACAAAGCCCATTTTTTAAACCTCTCAGCAATAAAACACTTCCCAAGCTATCGTAAAATTCACCCAGAATAAGAGAGTATCACTGGAAATGAGGAAACTTTGGCCGGCTTTTAACATACTTAACACAAGTCACAAAATGATAAAGTTTTTTCTGTCAGTCTCCATCTTGAATGAGTTTGCTCCAGGTGTTGGCAGCTGAATCCATGTCCCTTGTTCTAGGCAGGTGAGCAACTGCTTGGTTCCTTTGCCTTTGGGAATTCAGCAAACAGAGGTGGATGGTCAGTGGGAGAAGAAGATTGCTTAGAAACAGAAATAAATGAGATCGTTTCACATTTCTAGGCCAAAGGGACTGTGAGTATACTTCTGTGAGTCCTCTCCCCACCCCAGGCTCTCAGAAAAGTCATCACCAAGTCCCTTTAATTTTAGAGACACTGAGATTCAACTCTGTTTAAAGGAGGAAACGACCTTCAACTGGTTAAGCTTTCCTTGAATGCCCATTACATACAAAACAATGCTGAATGCAGCAATGGAAACCAAAAAAAAAGAAAAAGAAAAAGGTAATAAATACTCACAGGTGAGTGAAGCAATAGAAGTCTACTTTAAAAATCTATAGATATGTAAATTCTGCAAGTGGTTGGCAAATACAACTACGACACTGAAGACAGAGGAAAGAGTAGTTCTGCATGGGGTTGGGGTGAGGTGTGTGGTTGGAAGAGGCTGTAAAAAAAAGGAGGTATTTATAATGGCCAGGAAGGACAGTTCCTTTGGCCCAAATTGGTTTTGTTTTTTGTTTTTGGCGCAAATCTGATAAATAAATTAAATCATGAAATAAGAACATTACTAAAACTAGTAATCGGCTTTAATCTGAAAACACACACTTTTCTTGTAAAGGGCCTGTGGACTCCATTTCAGCTCCACACTTCCAGTTATCCCTGGAAAGCAAGGAAAATTTGGTTGGGGTTATGGAACAGGCGTCATGACTCAACCCCGAAACTCTGGCCTTCAGGAACTTCAGGGGATCCTTCTGACATCTGACCACGGATCCTTCAGAGGGGCTATCTGGCCTTATTCATCTTCCCTCCAAATAGCCTAGTGGAGTACTTGGCACCTAGTAGGCAATCATTTGTCAAATGGATTTTAAGCATTCTCCTTTTTCTCCGTTAGAGGACAATCAACCAACCTATCACTATGCTATGCTTCTCTGCCAGCTTAATTTAGCTCTGATCTCAGTAGTTAGGAAAACAGGAGAAACAATGGGGCCATAGCATCCCTGAGAGTGAAGCTAGGCAAGAGGGTGTGAGTTAGGCAAGCGAGGGCTGCAGGGGGTGCTAAACACTCCCACCTCAGCTCCCCATCTCCGGTGGCAAAAGCTCAGCCCCCTCCCTCCCTCTCTATTTCGGACCGCACCGGGGAGGTGAGAGGGCAGCACCAGCGAGGCGGTGGCCAAGGCTCTACCACGTTCATTATTCCCTGCTGCTTTTTCCAGTCCCCAGCCTTCTCGCCCCTCCTTCCTCCTCCTCAGTCCAGGTTTGGAAGCGATTCCCCTCTAGTGACTGAGCCCCTTTGCATCTGGGTGAGAGGCGCTTCGCCTCCCTCACGTCTTTGTCTCCTCCTCCTGCGAGCTCCCGGCCCGGCGCAGGGGTTGCAGCGGCCGCTGCAGCAGCTGGAGCCGAGCCGTGCCTTGCACCGCCTCTTGGGGCCGTACTCCAGTGGTGTGAAGGCTCCGGAGGACACCAGCCGAGCCACTCACCGCCCGCCCGCATCCCGCGCTCCAGCCGCGGCGCACTAACGCCGTGGGCGCAGCGGGGGAGCCAGCCAGCCCAACCCGACCAGTCTGGAGTAGGCAGCCCGGCTAGCAGCCGCGTGTGGATAGCGGCGCTGCAGCTCTGGCAACGCGCACACCCCCCGGCATACATACCTAACGCCTTCTCCCTGCGCCACCAGGATGGAGCAACCACCCCAGTCCCGGACTGGCGCAAGGTAAGGTGCGGCCGCCTGTTGCTTTTCGCAAAGCGCGGTATCATCCCTCTGCCCAGGTGCCTAGGCCATTCCTCCACGAACAAGTAGAGGAGAACTATCGCACCACTTCTGAGCCACGTCCAAACCCCCTGCTCCCCTTAGCGCAGACCCTTGGAGAGACCACCCCTGGCCAGGGAGAGTCGACCCTATTTCCTCGCGTGCAGCCAGCTGCCACGCAATAGTCTGCAAACTTTTGTTCATCCCCTTCTCCGCGCGGTACTCACCCCGTGCCGTGCAAGTTGCACCTCTAGTTTTCGCGTGTGCCCTTCCCCCAATCCCCCTCCCTTGCCGAATACATCTGCCCATTTCTCTCTGTATTCTTGTCAGTCGACTTTTCACTCCCTGCAGCTCCCGCTAGAGAGGCGAGGGTTTGGGACCCAGCAGTACTCATCCTGCCTGTAGGGGCAGTTTGGGAGCCGAGATGGTGGAGTAGGAGAGGTGGGGAGTGGGAAAAGGCTGCGGCCACCCCTGGGGTTCTGTCCAGCGCAGCGGGAGTCGGTCCATCCTTGCGTTTGCCACCTCCAACTAGGTAACGAAACCCTTGGAGGGGCTTGCGGCTTTGCGCCTTGGGAACGCCAAGTGCAGATCCGGGTGGGTGAAGTAAGTGGTTTTGGGAGGGAAAAGCTTGCTTGGGGGTAGGGGAGGAAGCTGAGTGTCGAGGATAGATCTGATTGAGGGGGAAACCAAAAGGCTCTGCTAATGCGGGCGAGGGGCCAGTCCCGAGAAGGCTTCTGATGGGGAGGAAAAGGGATTTGAGTCCGGAGGTTGCTGGCCCGGTGTGTAAATACAGATGGGGGAGGCGCAGAGAGGAGAAATGGAGCCTTGGAATGCTGGGGCCACGGGGACCTTGGGAAGGCAGGCTTCTGGGTGACTGGGATGGGGCGATCTCCCTCTCCTGGAGAAACATACCTCCCGGTGAGATTCTGAATGCGTTGGTGTCTTGGGCGGTGACTGAGTGGTTTAGATCATGGACCAGGGATGCTTTTCCTGGCTCTAAGAGGACCTAAGTCCCCCTTCTTTCTCTGGCACCAGCTTCTGCACCCTTCCACCTCCTCGGCCAGGTTTGTAGACCTACGCCCACCTTCCCTACAGGGTGCTCTGGAGTTAAGGACGTCTCCATAGCCGCAGTGTGGGAAGGGGATTCCTGGCACCCGGGGAGGACTGTGTTCGGTAGGGGGAGACTCCCCAGCTCTGAGACAGTAGACTGGGGTCCGAACCGGTTGGAGCAGAGCGCAGGGGTGAAGGCTGCACTGGGAGCCACCACCCCCACCTCCCTCCGCAAATCGCACCTGGGCGGAGCAAGGGAGTGGGGGAGCCCCGTGCTGAGCCTGGGGAGGCTCCGGAGCGCAGAGCTGCAGGGAGTGCAGGGCGATGGGGTATGGACAGTGGATGAGGGAAGACCCAGCAGATCAGGGGCTCCGTGCGGAGGTGGGCTGTCTAGTTTGCTGCCCCAAAGTAGATCCTTCTGGTTGTTCCAGACCCTTTGGCCAATGCAGGAAGGGAAGGCTCTTTTCTCCTTTGCACCCCAGCAGTCTGGGATGGAAGAGCATTTGCGGGAGGGGGCTTAGACTGCTGTTGCAAAAAAGTGGGGCAGCCCCCGGAGCCCCATTTATCCTGGTGGGGCACACACTGAGCTGCTAAAGGCCTGGATGCACCCCGTTTAACCCTTCTCTCTTTGAGTTGGTTCACGCCCATCTCCTACCAGCGCCTTTGGCTTCGAGTTCGGTTCTCGTTCCCTACTGTACCTATGAGAGAAGAATTTGGAGGTTGCGTGGATCTGGAGACGTGTAAAACCCTCTGGTCCTCCCTGTTCAAACCTCCCACGTGCAGGCTTTTGGGGGTGCAACTGGCTCTGCACTTGCCCTGTAGACGTCTCCTGCTCTCCCGCACCAACTAGGAGAAAGCACAGCTCAACGCAGTCCCCTTTTTGGGCCCCACTCCTTGGCCAGACCCTTCCGGAAGAGACGTCGACTGGCAAGGGCTCCGGGGAGGAGTCCCGAGGTCGGCCCTCCCATCCCGGGACACCCCGGGAGCCGCGAGTTCCCTGTCGCCCAGCGGCAAGCTGCAGAGCCCCAAGGAGCGGGAACGGGGATTCCCTCCGCTCCGGCTCGGGGGCGCTGCGCTTGGGCACCAAGGCCACACCCTCACAGGCCAGGCACCGGGGAGAGAGCGTTGGCTTCTTCTGAATTACCTGGATACCTGAGGTAGGAGCCCAGAATTAAATCCCTCACTCGCAAGATTTAGTTTCCCATGTCCCGGGGTCCGCTTCTTCTTCTCCTCGCCCCCACCCCCCCATGCTTATCACCTGGATTTGTGCGCAGGTCACTTCCCATTGCACGTAGAAACAGCTTGGAACCTGTCCTTTGAGAACCCTTGAAGGAAGAAGACTTCAAATCCACACCAGGGTGTTTGTTTTGTTTTTCAGATTGCTGAACTATTCTGGGGAGACAGGTAGTAATAACAATAATCAGCGCTAGCATTTATTGAGCCCTTACCCTATGCCGGGTATTATTCTGGATGTTGTACGTGCGCTGTTTTAGTTTGAATCCTCACAACCAAGGAAAATAATTGAAGTTATTTTTCCCATTTTATTAGCGAGGAAACTAAGTCATGGAGAAATGATTTGCTCATAGTCATCCAGCCAGTAGGTGGTGGGGCAGGTTTCTCTGGTGAGCAGAGAACACTGGGTGTGTCCCACACTCCCTGCCTAGTTGGTCCTCAAGACCCTTGTCCGCAAGGAAGTGGGTGAGGCCTCCAGCCTGTTACTCCAAATCCCAGGGGCAGTACTGTAAGGGTCAGCCCTTGCCTAGGTGCCCCTGTAGCTGTGGCCCTGGGAACATCTCACTCCTCTGAGAGTCTGTTGGGGTGCATCTTGGTAGGATGGGATCCTGGTACTAGAAGCAGACTTAAGGAACTGGCTGCTGACATTGGACTTCTTTTCCCAACCTTTTGGTAGACATTCCCTTTTGAAATGTGAGCAGAAATGGAAGGAGGGATCCAAATGTGAACAGAGATTTGCTCTGAGGTCACAAACTGCAGACACTGGATTCTGCAAATGGGTCCCTTTCAAGTGATGGGATCACAGAATATTAGAGCTACAGGGACGTCAGCTATCACCCCTGTCCCTCCAGGGGTAGGGAGGAGATTCACGGACCGGCAAGGCCACTTGGTGTGTTTGTAGAGTAACTGCTGTTGGAACCTCTGTCTTCTGACCCTGGTCAAAATAAACTGTGTCCGTGCATAAATACATTATGTTCACTGCCGCTGTTTCTCAGCATCTTAAAATCAATTAGAGAAAATTAATTAACTGGTGAAAAAATTTTTGTTGAAAGTAGATCATTTTGCTAATTTTTTATAAATGCCTCAATTAGCGTAAACCAGAAAAAGTCACCACCACATAATGGATAAACCACCACAAATTGCCCGTTTTGCAGAAGATTGCAGTAGAATATTTATATTTCAAGTCAACAAAAATCAACCAACTATGCAACATTTTTAGATGATTCTAAGTAAAAACTAAATAGATTCTCAACCATTTTAGCCAAGTTCTTCCCTCAAGTTGAGTAGGTCTGTCCTGCCTGACTCCCAATTATTGTTGAAAATAAGAAAAAATGTAGTACTTCAAAGGGAAAAATCCTTTTGAATCCAATGAAATGATTTGTTATTGTTTCTTCTGGGTTTCTGACCCCGGGGTTAAACTTTAGGCCTATGTAAATACGAGGCAAAACATACTTGGGGCTCAGAAAGGGGAAAAAGTAGTGCATGGCCACTTCCTCACCCATTGAGCACCTTCACAAAGTGGAGTTTCTCCAGGAGCTTAGTGTTCCCGTGGACCCCTAGGCATTCTTATAGGGCAGAAACCTGGTTTCTGAGAACACCCCGTGCCTTTTCCCTGTAGCTGCATTACCGAGATGCCCTCCCCCTGGAGACAAACAGAGGTTTGGGCTGGGAGGTGTTATGGGAAAAAGCTGTTTATCAGAATCACATTGGGGGATAAGAAGTACAGACAGAGAGTAGACACTTGGTCCACTGATGTCACCTGGAACAAGCTTTTCACTCCTGATGCTGTGACAAGTGAGGACCAAGGCCCTCCAGCCATAATTAAGGTTGGGGGAGGAAAAGGTGAGGGTGAGGGAATAGCGCTGGTCAGGGGGCATGGGGTCAGGGAGGCGGGGCTTGGCGGATCAAGGACTTTGGTGTGACAGAAATGGCCCTGGAGAGCCTGCATGAAGAGCCACCCTCCACCCTTTCCTTCCTTTCCACCGCCTCAGTCTGCCATGGCTGGTGGGTTGGCTGATCTGAATCCCAGCATCCTCAGTTATCTCAAGGAAGGCATTCCCATTCTAGAGAACTCATTAGAAATGGACATTGTTTTTACACAAGCACGGGAAAATATGCACAGCTGTCCCGCTCCTCAGGAAGAACCACTGAACATCGTATCATCCCAGAAGGGTAACCCTCTGAGGGTGGGGATACTCATTAGTTGGATTACAGCAGTGTTAGAGGGAAAAAAGATACACCATTGAAATCAGGTGTGACAACATCTAAATGAAATGGTCTATCTTTTTAGGAACTCTACAGCAAGACAATTTTTTGCACCTTGGCATGCATCTTGATTCCCAATTCCTGGCTTTTCCAGAGGTAATAGTGGAATTAGCTGTCATCCAATTTATGGGGCCCACGCCCCCTCTGCTGATTTTACTCCTGTGTCATATAGTGTTAAAGGGCACACACAACACTGCTGGGCAAATCTTTGGGTGCACATTTACCTTAAATAAATAAATAAATATATATATACACACACACACACACACACACACACATACACACACTTATCATATGTATATATACACATACACATATTCACAGTTGAAATAACAGTTACTATCAAGCAACATGCCTTGGGGAAAAGATTATAAAAATACTGTTTTTATTTAGAACACAATGAATAAATATGTTTA